AGTAAGACAAAAACGAGAATAAGAAAAATACACTAAGGAAAAAAGTCGAGAACACTCACTCGAGAGAAACACAGGAGAGCACGGCCGGCACGGTCGTAAGGGTCGCGGTCGACACGAGCTTTTTCAGCAGCAGGGATAACCAAGTGAAGGTACTTGGCGATCTCGTGAGGATGGGGGTGGTCCCATAGACGAGAGGGTCGCTCGAGTGTGACCGTCTCGAGGCCACCAGGAGAACGGGGGGTCTCCACTGATTTCCCTTTGTCGCGACTCTTCTGGTGTTTGAAGGAGTCGGGTACCAACACGAAATCGGCCTCATCCTGGGCCCTTTTCCGGGGTTTTGACCCCGAAGCTTTCGGAGGCGCAGCAGCAGAGGGAAGAGTCTCTCTTGATTTTTTAGCGACAGTCGTCTCGACTGCCGCTCTTTTTTATCCAGAACCAGAGCCGTCATCGGCCCCAGCAGGTAGAGAGGGTTGCTTGGCAGATTTCTCACTGCCCTTCGCTTTCTTGCACTACGCCAAAAAAGGCTTCAGATAGCACTTTTTTTTTCTACAGATAACACTTTTAAGCGTTATTGGAATCAGTGTTATCTGAAGACTGATTCTTCAGATAACGCTTAAAAAGCGTTATGTGATGAACCTTTCACATAACACTTTTTTATAATAAGCGTTATCTGATAATCCCTTCACATAACTCTTTTTTACGCTAAGCGTTATGTGAAGAGCCATTCACGTAACACTTTTTATGCTAAGCGTTATGTGAAGAGTTCTTCACATAACGCTTGTTTATATTAAGTGTTATCTATAATATTTATCAAAAAAAAAAAAAAAAAAATGAGGTAATGGAATGACATGAAAATGATCTTAAATTCATTTACCTCATCTGGGATTATCATTTCATCTGAAATAATTATGTCTTTAATAAATTTCAAAACGTAATACCCACAATCCACACTGTTAGCTTCTTTGGAAAACTGAAAGAAACAAGTATTTGTTAGTACGAACATATATAGATCAACATCAACAACAAATAACATGTTGAAGTACCTTAATATTTTTCCATCTTAAGTGTAATTTTGATTTTTTGGAGACCACCCCAACTTGAGCCCGAAAAACTCGTAATACGCTAGTAAAAACAGAAAGACCATAGAGTTACTAGAAAAACAACAAAAAACAAACACACCATAACAACCACATATACTTACGTGTTAAACACATCTGTCATATGTGGATCAGGATCCTTGTGCATAGGATCTAAATGATATATCGTCTCTGCCTTCAAATTAATAGCCAACAACACCCAGTGGACCCTATAAAAAAAAAGTAAACATTTGATATTACATTTAGTATTAAGTTTTACAGAAACTTTAACTATATATATATATATATATATATATAAATATATATATATAGAAGAAGACTTACGATGTATTATATGGCGCAAGAACCAACTTATCCTTTGCATTATTATTAACAAGCAAATCAACAATTGCTTTTATTTGCTCGTCCTTTTTAACTAGAAAGCTTGTTACATGGGGGGATAAGAAGAAGAACCTCTTCGATAATTGCTTATGGACCATAAACTTCTCGTACAAGTATCTTACATAAACATACAAAAGATTATTACTTGCCAAAAGAAGATACCCACCTATAAAATTAACCAATAAAAGTCGAAATGTACCTGATATATGTACAGACAGCAGAGACACCAATCCATTGATGCATAACAACGTGATTTATTTCATCTACACCAAGCTTCTCTTCAAATGATACACCAAATGTCTCTTTGGCCATCATTATGCTTGGTAATAAATCACTAGGTCTCATGAGCAATTGGACATGCATAGTAAGATAGCTACAATATGACCCGTTCCTCGCAGTATCAACTTCATTAGATCCTTTTGTACGGTTTTCTTCCCCATTACCTTTTGGAACTATAGAGTTTTTGGTTCCCTTATTCTGGAGATTGTCTGAGATCTATATTTTTTCCAAGTGTAATAAATGACATACATATATTATATATTTAAAAAAATAAAAAGTAGATTTATTTGTTTGCACATACCGATTTATTTACAGAAACGAGATTCTTTGGCCACGCCACAAAAGTTCCTATTGCATCTCGAACTGTTATCAACGCTTCATCATCAATAGACACAGGCAAAAACGCATTTGGCTCAAAAGCAACCTCAAGACTAACTTTCACATGGTCAATTGGCAACGGTCTGGTGTGTATTGTTTCACCAAGACAGTTGTGCACTTTGCCACGACCAACCGCCCGATAAGTCGGTGATGATAGATAGACTTTACACTCCGAAAACCCCTAAGAATCCAATGATGAAATAACAACATAAAAGAAAAGAAACATCGTCAATCATGAATTAATTGAGAAATCAAATACCTCTGGAATAATGTCAGGTTCAATGTTTGAACTTTGCTTATCCTCAGCATCCACAGCATTATGATTAGCATTTTTTTCTCGACTTTTATCCAAGGTGACAACATTCTTTGTTTTCTCAGTCTGCTTACCAATATGTTTCGGGTTGTCTGGGATCTACAACATGTTTTATTTTCAATTGTATCAACTAAAAAAATATTGATTTGACTATGGAATAAAAGAGAAGAAGCGGTCATAAAAAAAACCATATGCTTCAAATCAATAAACCAAAAATATATGAAGAAAAAAATACACAGATGGATAAAATAGAAGAAAAAGGGTAAAATAGCATAAAAGATAAAAGTGGAATATCATGTTATCAACTACTGGAATATCATGTTATCAACTACCTCATGAATATTGTCACTATCACTTGGGGCGAAATTCTCGGTGCCTTCAAAGCCAGACAAATCAGGTTGTGTCTCTTTTACCTTGCTATCATAAACTTTCTTTTCCATTTGTTGAAGCCGCGCCATAACCGCTTTTAGATCATTTTTTAGACATTGCACTTCATCATGTTTGACACGTTTTTTTGGAGGAAAACAATTTTTTCGGGACACCCCAAATCCAATCCCCCTAATGCGGCCAGGATACTCTTTGCCATTTATAGCCTTAGAAAGTATATCCAAATGGACATTTCTTTCTACATCCTCGTCTGATAGGAATTGTGCAAGGTTCTCCTAAAAGATACAAAAATAATATACAAACCTTTATATCGTCATCATTATTATTATTATTATTATATTTTAACTATTAACGTAAATAAGAAAAAGATCATGAAACTCACACATTCGTTCCAAACTTTTTGGACATTTTCATTTTCAATAATTCCGTCTTTGTTGACACGAGCAGCTTTCCACACCTTGTGACACGGAAGACGTTTAACCTCCAATGCAGACTCTTTTATCTATATATTAAAGTATTCAAGATATATCGTCACTAATAGAGCATTATAAACAAATATAAAAAGACATAATCACATAAACACAAACGCCGATTTATATAAGTGTGTGTGTGCGTGTGTGTATTAATGGACTCTACCATTTTTTGCTCAAGTCGTGCATATCCCATACGTGAAGCTCTATATGGATACATTGGATTTGACGCTCTTTGTCGATTTTGATTGCTTATTTCCTGGTCAATACATTTTGATCATTTCAAAATATGCATCAAATATCACTCATTTGTTAAAATATGTAATGCTTACCTGGAATGAAACGCCAGTACGTTTTTCCACAAAAGTTTTCCATTCCTCTTTAGTTATCATGCGTGCATAGCATGACGGAGGATGTTCATTTATATTTCCTTCTGCATCTTTCACAAAGTCCCTCGTCAATTCTGATCTGAACCTTCTGTGAAGTTTACCTGCTTCTTTCATTACGAATCTACGGTGCTCTTCCCCGATTTTAAAAGACTCCTGCTAGGATTTACTTATCAACAATGATAATGTTTTTCATACAAATAAATGTATTTGTTTAAACTAATGAAAACATTCACAAATTAGATTAAAAAAAAACAAAAAAATTCGAACCAGTAAAATATTCCAAATGAGATCCTTGGATACGTCTAAGTCCTTGTTTCTCCAATCATCAATTGTAATTGGAATATTCTCACGAACTACATTCCCAATAGTGCTGACAAACATCGACCCATAAGGCTCAATTGGCTGACCCAAATCATTCCAATTCACCTAGTATAACATAAAATGTTGAATTTATATCTAACTATAAGAACTACTGAATTATTGAATAGGGATTCCGCAAAAACTTGCCTTAAATTTTATCCCTTTATTTCGGGCACGAATGACTTTTTTCATTACAACTGTTCGTGAACGAGTCTTAGCAATTGCAGCTTCATCACAATGAGAATCATGATCACTTCCTGAATTCTCCATTTGACCTGCAAAAATTTTAAGTGATTAGATAAAACAATTTCAAACATAGCCGAAAAAGATGTGATGGAAGAAAAAAAAAAGAACAAAAAATTGTGAATAATTTATTTATATTTATTTTTGTATATGTGTTATGTTACTATGGATAATCTCGCAATTTTATAGATAAAAGTATATGGTATTATGTAATATTCCTCAATGCTACTACAATAAACCAATTTCCTAAAACTTACGTGCATCTTTGATCATCTACTAATTATCTCCTTGCATAGAAGTGAGACATTGTCACAAAAGTCTAAAGTTCAATTTTATTGAATATTTGTACTAACCTTTAATACTAGGTTAGTTTTAGTTTCCCTAAAATAATTCAATTTCTCCAAAATCTGAAGTTTCTCAATTAGCTCTAAACTCATTAGGATATCACCAATTTTAAAAGGAAAAGTTTTGTAATTGTACATATATTGTCCATTTTTCCAACCCAAAATACTATGTGTGATCTACATATACTTGTTAAAATCCTGGTAAATTTTTCTTTTCAATTTTTTTCTCCCCATCTTTCACTGATGAAAAACAAAGACTTGTTGGCCTATAAGTTATTAGATGTTAGAAGTAATAGCTACATGTCTGGAAAGTGAGAAAATGCAGGGATAAGGGGTAAAAAAGCTTTTTTTTTTTAAGTTGGGTGAAAAGATATAACTCAATAGGCTTATATTATTGTCTTTTATTAAAATTTGAAGAGTTTGCACGTTGAAAAGTTTTTTGTCCATGATACAGATTATAAAGATCTCTCTCCAGCGATATATAAGAATTTGGCCCACAATTGCTACAATCTTAAAAGTGAATAACATAATCCCAAGAAGAGGTGCAAGTACAAATCTACATACAAACTGTAACTTAAATACTCAACATGGCCAATGACTGTGCAAATGGACAAAAAGAGAGTTTACATACCTAAAAGCAACTCCAATCACAACCCTCCTTCTAGCTCCCTTTTAACAGATGAATCTGAAATTGCAAATGAGTATCAATATCTAGCAAAAAATATATAAGTAAAAGAAAATGACAAACATGCACATATGGAGATAGTATTCAAGATATGATATGAGTTTACCTGTGTTAATTTATAGCTATTCTTTTTCTCTTCTTATTCGAACTCACAATTTTTTGTCTCTTATTAATTTGAAACGACGGATTGACCCAAACCCCTTCATTGTGATCATCTCTCATGTACATAATATCATCTATGGATGGATCACTATTGGGTGGTTGTGATGTATAGCAAAATGGATCGTCCTCAGACATTAAATCTTCATGATTCTCATCACCACGTTCAACTATTTTATTGGATAACAGCACAATAGACCATTTACAATCAGAAGGATCGGTCACATAGAATACTTGTTGAGCTTGTGATGCTAAAATAAAGGGTTCATCTTTGTATCCCACCCTATTAAGGTCCACTTGCATAAACCCTGCTTTATCCATTTGGGCACCAGTATTATTGTCAACCCACTTGCAACCAAACACAGGACTCAAAATTTTGTGTAGTCTAACTCCCATATACGTTCAATTACACCAAAGTATGACATATTTGCATATGTTGGAGTCCTATCTTTAGCACTTGAGATATGCATGGCCTCAGCAACCAATGTAACCCTACTATTTTGCATAGTACTCTGACCATCTTGCTCTTTTGTATAAAATGTGCACCCATTTATCATGTAACCTTTAAAAGAACATGCATGTATGCTTGGGCCTTTCGCCAACCACTTCAACCTTTCAGATATTGATGCTGAATCTATAGCTAATGATGCAAAAATGTGATCTTTTAGCCAAGATATGAAGCTTTTATTGTGTTCCCTCGTTATCCAGCTTTCATTTCTATTTGGATATGCACATTTAAGTATATCCTTGTGACGTTGGACATATGGTTGTACCTCATCATCATTGTGCAAGACATACAAATGTGCCTGTTCCCAATCTAACGGTGGTATGGTCACTATTTCATTTCCGATAATTCCTTCACCTACTGTTCTTCCTGAGTGTCGAGACCTCGGTATCCCAGCTGTTTCGGTGTTGCTAAGATATTCACCACAAAACTCGATTGCTTCTTCCATAATGTAACATTCAGCAATACAACCCTCTGGTCGGCTTCGGCTTTTCACATATCCCTTTAGCACTTTCATGAAGCCTTCAGGCCTATACATCCATCTCGTATATGAAGGTCCACATAACTGAGTCTCTTTAACTAAATGAACGGTCAAGTGTACCATAATGTCAAAAAAAGACGGTGGAAAATACATCTCGAGTTCACATAATGTGACAACAACCTCCCTTTGCAAAGATGGCAATTTTTCGGGGTCAATCACCTTACTGCAAATCGCCTTAAAGAAAAAGCACAACTTAGTTATTGTCCACCGTACCTTTTCAGGCAAAACTGATCGAATAGCTATTGGTAACAAGTGTTCCATTAAGACGTGACAATCATGGGACTTCAACCCCTTTAGCTTGAGGTCTTTCACAGATACCAAGTTCTTAATATTTGAAGAGTACCCTTCTGGAACTTTAACTCCTTCAAAAAATTTACAAATTGTAAATTTTTCATTCCTACTAAGTGTATGAGCTGCAGGAGGTAGAAAATGGCGTGTACCCTTCTTTATAGGTCCCAACTCTGTTCTGATACCCATATTAACTAAGTCCAGCCTAGCATTGATGCCATCTTTGGATTTTCCTGGCACATTCAGTAGTGTGCCAATGACACTCTCAAAAATATTTTTTTCGATATGCATCACATCAAGAAAATGTCTTATATAAAGTGATTTCCAATATGGCAATTCAAAGAAGACTGAGCGTTTTTTCCAACCGGCTGTCTTTAGATCCCGCGCAAAAGGTTTACCAAATTTGTTGGTTATATCTTTTACTTTTTCAAAAAGCTGATCACCTGTCAATGGAATTGGAGCTCTGCCGTGTTCTTGCTTCCCGTTAAACGCTTTCCTCCAATTTCGATAACGATGAGTGGAAGGTAAAAATTTCCGATTGCCCATAAAGACATTTTTCTTGCCATGTTCAAGTCGCAACCAATCAGTATCATCCTCACATATTGGACATGCACGTTGTCCTTTTATACTATATCCTGAAAGATTACCATATGCTGGAAAATCGTTAATGGTGCCAAACAACATTGCTCTCAATGTAAAATTTTCTTTCATATTCCCATCATACACATCCACACCAGTCTCCCACATAAGCTTCAAATCTTCTATCAAAGGTGCCAAATATATGTCTATATCATTTCCTGGTTGTTTAGGTCCCGAAATTAACATAGACAACATCATAAATTTTCTCTTCATGAATAGCCATGGGGGTAAATTATAAATCATCATAATAACAGGCCATGTGCTATAAGAGCTGATTTGCATACCATGTGGATTCATTCCATCTGTGGATAATGCAGGACGCAAATTTCTTGGTTCTTTGCCAAAATCAGGGTAATCGTGGTCAATTTTCGTCCACTGAGGAGAGTCTGCTGGATGCCGGATCATTCCATCTTTACACCTTTCATTCGCGTGCCATGTTAAGTGCTTTGCATTTTCAGCACTATGGTACAAACGCCTAAACCGCAGTATTATCGGGAAATACCATAACACCTTTGCCGGAGATGATCCATTTTTTCTATATCGCTGGGCATTACACTTGGGACACGACTTTAAAGAGGAATATTCCTTTTGAAATAGAACACAATCATTCGGACAAGCATGTATCTTCTCATAACTCATGCCAATGGAGGATAACATTTTTTTCGCTTCATAAATTCGACCAGGAAGAACATTATTGATAGGAAGCATATCTTTTAATAGCTTTAATAAATCAGTGAAGCTCCTATCTGACCAACCACTGTTAGCTTTCAAATTGTATAACTTCAGGACAACAGATAATCTTGTGAATTTAGTGCAACCATCATACAATGGTATATGAGCATCACTTACTAATCTATCAAACATCTCCGGACAATCACGAAGATCATCTTCGACCATGTCCGCTATCTCATTAAGTTGGTCAGGCTCATAATCCACATCTGCATAGCATTCACTTGTTGGATAATTCACATTATCTTTCTGATGAAGACATTGTTTTCTCATCTCACCATGCTTAGTCCAACAAGTATAGCTTTGATCAATTCCGTTGCATATTAGATGATCGACCAAATCATCTACACCTATCTGTTTAGAGTAACAACAATCTAGACAAGGGCAGATGATTTTATTAGGATTGTCTGCATGTGCAACAGCAAATTTAACAAATTCTTTCACACCGTCCTCATATTGTTTTGACAATCGACTGGCAGACATCCATTTTCGATCCATGGCTTCTTGATCTAATAAATGATTAAGAGTTATTTGGGTAAGTGAGAAATTAACATCAATCTCGGACACGAAGAAAAAAAAAATATAGTTCCTACATATGTGAACCTCATAGGACTAAGTTTGCATATATGCTTGCAAGTATATATATATATGTGTGTGTGTGTGTGTGTGTGTGTGTGCGTGTGTGTGTATTTATATACACACACTTACATTTATCGAATTAAAATAGTAAAAGAAAATGTTTTACCTTTTCTATCGATGAGATGAACGTTTTTGTGATGCTTGTTGAACCACAACTCCTCCTGATCAAAATTTAAAATAACACAGTCATAAATTAAAAAATGTAGAAGTCATATGTTTGAGTTTCAAGTATAAGGGAAACATATAAGAGCTAAGCTCGTCATGAGAAGAGGTATAAATATGTTCACTTTCAGA